TCACGAAGCCTCCTGTAACTATACGGCGGCGCCCTGAGTTACACAGGCTCTGTCTACCAGTTTATAGCTGACCGCAGGTGCCAGTCAGGCGCTCAGATTCTGTTACAAGGACAGCGTAGGCCACAAGATTTCATATGCTCGCTGTCAGCACATTTACTGTACTTGGCGCTCAGCTCCTCCTACAATGTTCTACCGCTATCAATATCATATGCCTCAATTCGCATCCGTGTTCCTTCGTCATCCTCATTGCCTGCTTGTCTTCACACATGTGACATATGGTGTCTTCCTGCCGCGCAGGCCCAATCGCGTCTGGTCGGTGTCTCGTTTCGTATGCTCGCCCTCCGTCTGCCGAACTAATACTACATCACTACAGCTGCTTGTGTCGTATGTGAGGTGAAACTAGGCGTCGTGTTTGTATTTTGCACGGAATAGTCTCGACGACATGCCCTTGGTCGGCGCGAGTGATAAGCAGCTATGCAGCGCTGGGTTGGGATTTGACTCATCGAAAGAGACCGATACTTGCGCCTCTAAAAATTGATTACGGCGGTCAACCTTGTCGCTGCTCATTCTCGGCTCGGATGGTGGATGCGTATTGATCTCGTCCGCCGCAGGTGAGTACCGGCGTCGCGGAAGCACTCAGACCAATTCCTGGGCCATGAGTATAGCGGCATTGATCTTGCGCATTCAAAGAGTATTTTGCTCGCCGTCTCTGGCGTGTGCTGTCAGACTGGCCTTGCTGTCGTCATTAGAAACTCACCCATTGAGGTCGGCAAGCTCAGCCCCTTCTAAGCAATTTCAACAACTTCGCTGAGCTTGCTCTGAGGCGCTTATGGTTCACATAACACAGCGAGAAGCATCAAAGAAGCATTCCCCGAGCGGATGCCACAGCTTTGGCTCTCGAAAGCTCGCCACGTACTTCTACGATTGTTATATCAATAGGCTAGCCTTGATACGTCTTGCGCACTGAGCACGCTGTCTTCAAGATTTGCTACAAGAACAGCGCATAATCACTTTTCAATCTCGAGTTTCGATGTTCTCGCGTATCTTCAAGTTCGCTCAGTCAGTCGATACCTGTGTACTATCGCACTGCCCGTGAAGCACACCCTCACCGGCTCCATACATGTCAGCAAACCCATCACATCTCTCAGTATCTGCTTGACCTGCTGGAATTTCGCGTTCTCGCTACCTGATGAGGCCGCACGGGCCACTCCATCTCGCGTATTTTGACTTGGTGGTTTCTCACTCTCACCTGGCAACGCCCGCGCGGCCTTCCACCGCCGACGAAGCCCTTCTATACCCGCCTTCACCTGGTGTTTCCGACCTTCCTGTCGCCGGCAGAACACCGGCCGGAGCAACAGCGCCGGCTCCTAGCGCCTGTCTGTGCGCAGGCTCTTGGCAGGCACATATAAAGCCCGTTTCCCCCCTCCGACCTACACTCTTTTACCACAAACCCCACAATCTTTTACCCCAACTCGAAGAATTCCAACTATTTGTCACTCATTTCTTCAACACACTTCCTTCCTTCAATCACTTCGACCATGGCTCATTACTTCATCACTACTTTGGATCACTTCCACTTTGTCACATGACATCATACCTTCACTCATATATGTCGACCACTTCCAACCTTACTGAGCTTCACTCTTCTTCAATCAACATCACTGCTCAACAATCTTCACACCTCACTTGGTCATCAACACTTCATCCAACCTTGGTCCAACATCACATCCATCGATGATCAACCTTACTTCACCATGAGCCATGGTCACTCTTCCAACATCCTCCTTCGCCATTGAACATGGTAAGTATCTTCCTGGTTTCTTCTTTATTCAGTATTCTAACCTTTTTCAGCTTGCTGTCGCCTTCTACCACACTCACTTCGGATTGCTCCAACCTTCGCTCAACATCGTCGCCAACCTCCTCAAAGCCCTACACTCTAGGCCACGATCGAGCTCTTCAGCATCCACCTCAAGCCCTCTTCAGGCCAGCATCGCATGTTCACAACACCCCGGGTCGCACGAAAGTCAAGTTGTTTGGATGGATTGGATACTTTGGTGGTGGAAACATACTGGTGGGAAGTGCAGGATACCATGGTCAAAGACAGTAAGAGACGGACATTACAGATCTCGATGGGATCTCGCTTTGGGCCTACAAGGCTTGCTTCGGCAAGGCCCCATGGCTGGTGGACATGATCTGGAGGAGACTTCATTCTCATATCAAGGTGCTGGAGGACAGACAGTCTATGGTACTTCGGTACTAAGCTGGGCCTACCTTGGAGATTTGAAGTTCTTCGCCAGTTTGAGCTTGCTCGCCCAGGTCATTCCCCTGCACACTTCTCGATGGCGGCTCTTAGGAGTTTGGATCAATTCGAGAAATGCAGCATGCGAAAGGTATGAGAGACTTGAGGTGAGAGTGCCTGCAGTCGGTGGTCGATGTTTGGATTGGGTTTTAGATTAGCTTTGAGGTTTTGGACATTGCTTGGCTGATGGCTGGCGGATATGGGCTTCATTCTGGTGGTTGGACTTTGGGTGGATGGCTTGGACTTCGGGCTGGACTTCTTCTCAAGGATACTTCAAGGTTTCGCCTCAGCATCAATGAATCTATCACATACCTCACTTCGCTTCTTCTTTGACTTGACTTGACTTCTTCTTTGCTTTACTTACTTCTTTCTTGACTTGAGTTCTTACCTACCTTCTATGTTTTGCTTCTTCCTTGACTTGCTTTAGTCGAACATCTTGCTTCTTCTCTGCCTTAATGTCTTGACATAGCTCTTACTTCACTTGCTCCTCTCCTAGACTTTCAACTTGTAATAAACATGCTTAATTCCTTAGACTTCTTACAACTTTCTATCTGCTCGAAGTGTATTCACTACTACATACCTTTAGAAAGTCTCTATCTTTGTGACGCTTCTCTCCCCACCACCTCCCCACTCTAAACATGCCTCCTCCTCGCCCACTTAGTGAGAAACTCTCTCCCCTCAATCCTCCAAACATCCTCCTCAACATAACTTCCATTATATCCCCTGCCCTGCGCCTGAAGAACAAGATCCAGTCCCCTTCCACTCTTACCCTCGTCGTACTGCGGCCACCTGGGCAGAGCTTCACCATTCGGATCACCCTTCGCAACAAACCTGATCCACTGCGCACTCACCTGCTCAGCCAGCTTCTTGTACTCCTCCCAAGGGCCATAGAAGTTAGGATTAGCAAAGACAAAAGCCACCTCAGTGAAGTGCGCGACGCCCTTGTACGCGCGCGGATTGCCGCCTTCGCTAGCGGTATTGCTGTTTTGCCAGGGCAGCGTGTTGAAGCGGTATATATACGTAGGCGAGTACTTGGAGTAAGCGCGAGCGTCAGCCAGGCGGGTCGCGTGGTAGAAGACGTCGCCCATGATGGCGGCGATGCGCTTATACTGAAGTCCTTGTTCGGCGAAGAGTTCGACGCCGGTGTTGAGCGGGATACCAATGGTGGGGTCGTTGGGGTAGAGTTGCATGATGCGCTTGATGACGGCGTCGGGGAAGTCGAAACCTGTGCTGTTGGCGAGGAAGGCGTATAGGTCTTCGTCGGTGTTGATGACGCCGCCGGCGGGCGCGTTGTCGGTGCCTTCGTCCGAGTTGGTGCCGTAGAGATGCGGGATGTGTGCGAAGCGGCCCGAGGCGAGAAGCTCGGTGGGGTAGGCGGGGATGATGTCGCCGTCGACGATGGGGTACCAGCCTGGGCCTTGGCTTGGGGCTGCGAGGAGTGGGAAGATGGCTTCGTATGGCAGGGTACGTAAACAGGCGAGCGTGTCGACTTCATCTGTGCAGTTCGCTTTGTCGACGATGTTGTCGTAGATGGGCTGATACCAGTCTGTGCCATTGTACCATGCCGTCGCCGCAGACCCAGACTCTTGGATGCTGCGGTGGAACAAGTTGTCTGTTCGGCCGCCGTATGACATGAGTAGCTGGCCTACTGCGAAGCTCCCAGCAGACTCGCCCCAGATAGTCACACTGTCCTTGTCGCCGCCAAATGCTTCAATGTTCTCGGAGATCCAAGCGAGTCCTTTGCGCATGTCTCGAAGCGCAAGGTTCGTCTGGCCGGTACCTTGGATCTCTCGCGAGTACAACATACCCCATCCGCCTTTGCGGTAGTTGATGCTGGCTGCAATGATGGGCTGGCCGATTTCCACGCTTCTTTGAACAATGTATGTCAGGTTGTAGTTCGCAAGCGCACTGGTGCCGACTTGGTAGCTTCCTCCATGGATCCATAGCGCTACTGGTAGCTTTGCGTAGTCGTTGTCTGAAAGACCCGCTGGACGAACGATGTTGATGCTCAAGCAGTCTTCGCTCATGCTAAAGTTGGCAGCCGACGGGTCCGGGCAGGCGTCTCCGTACGATTTGGCAGGGCGCGTGCCATTCCATGTCGTGTTCAATGATTGTGGTATGCGAAAGCGATTCTGACCTCCCGTATCTTGCGCATATGGGATGCCTAAGAAGATGTCTTGATTGAACGAAGGGAGACGTACGCCTTCGTATGTTCCATTCAGCACTGTGACCGTGGGTTCAGTAGCATGCGCTATCGTTGCCAGAAAGAACGTTGTAAGCGCCCCCACTTTCCAAGCTCTTGCAATAGCTGCCATGATGCTGGTGACTACCCGTCGAGATGACAGCGCGAGAAGACGAAAGCGGGGAGAAGCTCTACTTGTATATTGCAGCTGGCAGTGTTCCAAAAGCTAGCAATGATAGGGCGTATCGTAAGAAGCACCGAAAGGACCCTGCATCGTGACGTGATGGCTCTCCCACTCTTGTGGTGGATATGCATGTCCGTGGTGATCGGCAGAGGTGCACCTGCACGTTCGGCTGTGCGCGCCAATCAGGAAGGTAAGTACGGAGCTGCATGTGTAGTCGCACCGACGAGGATGCCGGCACATGTAAGCTGCGACTCTTGCTCGCTATCATACAGCATTATGAGATACTAGAGATGGTGAGAAGCGAGGCAGAGTCCAGCAATGTTCATAATGCTGGCCTAGAACAGCTTGGATAAGAAGCTTCTCCTCTTCTTCGCTGGTTCTTTCTCTGGTACACTCGCCATCGTATATGCCGGGGAGAACATTGCTTGTCCAGGAAGTTCTACTGGTACATCGACAACACCATACTCTGGCGTCTTATCCACGGGCGCGATGTCCGGTACGGCGTTCTGTTGCACAGGGCTGACGTACATCGGCGCCGGCGTACTCGGCACTGAGGTCGGCGACACCGGCATGGCCATGGGTAGTCGAGAAGCACTGACGATGTGTGTCGACTGTGGGTGAAGGTATGTTTGCGCTGGAGATGGTTGCGCATGCACATACGGTCGTACCTCCGGCTGATGCCAACGTGGCGCGCTGGCAGTTTGCAATCGTTTGCTTTCAGCGGCCCATAATTCGAAGACTTGATTCATAAGTCGCGTCCATTCTGAGGGACCTCCTTGGAAATTGTAGTTGACGCGGCGATCTGTGAAGGCGATGAAGTAGTGCTGCTTGTTGTACGGCGATATGGCGACATACTAGATTGCATCAGCGCTGTACTCATGTCATCATGAAGGCTTGTTTCGTGAACTCACACTGACGGCACCCGGCGCACTTTCCATCAAAATCTTATTCAATCCGGTGTAATAGCCGTTGAAGTTCCATGCCAGATGCCCGTCCGCAAACAGAACGAACCAGGCATCTTTCATCCCAAGGCCAACACAAGTCGGCGTGACCAGCGACTTCTTCACTCTATCCTCGAGACCTGAAGGTATAGCAGCCCATATCGAGCCCTGTCCGGGTGCGCACGCGAAGTAGCTGAACTTCTGGCCGAAGGTGACGAAGCACAAGCTGGCTGCATTCGGGAACGACTTTAGCCACTGCGCGAGATCGGGATAGTTGAGATCGAAGTAGGTCCGTGAGTGGACTGGTTCTGATTAGCTTGGTAGGTGCGATGGGGCTGGCCCGCGCCGTCATCGCCATGCGTTTCATGGTCGCGGAATCTGGGCCGGGGTGCTACTTACAGAGCTTGTCCTCCCCATCTAACGTCTTACACCCGATATACCAAATCGGCTCCGGAGAGTCTCCCTGAGGAGCAAGCGCGAGACAGTAAGGGCTTGCGACTCTCCATGGATTGCTCATGGAGCTCTTGAACAACTGGCGAAGCGTCTGCGGTATCTCGTGGCTGCACCCTGTTAGCCGCGCCTTCCTCAGCAGCATGCGCAACTCACAACTTCCATGTTTGGCGACAGTCGAAGAAAAAGCTATTGCGCGGTCCAAACACGAATGTAATCTCTGGCATCTTGTTGATTATACGATGAAACTGTACATGCGAGGCAGAGAAACGGAGGTGGGCTGCTCATCAGCAGGCATGCGGCGTCCGCCCAAGGACGTGGCGGCGCGTTGGGGGCCGCAATCAGCAGCACCAATTGAACGCGACGTGGACTCATCAATACTGCCGTTCATGTGTTCCGAGTCTCTCGATCTTCAAGCTGCGCATACGTGAAACTATCTAGATGTCTAAAATCACAGGAAGCCTAAGTCAGTATTCTCGTAGACATCGCAGATGCTTGTCCATCGTGCCTACCCAACTAGGTAAGCTCGCGGCATGTCATACTACAGCGGCACGCTTTCAAGGTGCGACTGTTGCTCATGCGGTATCATTACCACAGGGACTAATAGTCCAGCGCAGACCGCTCTACGACATCACAATCTCCAGAAGCGACCTGAAAAGGACGAGCAAATGAATAGACTTCTGTCGTGATCATGCCATTTCATTTTCGCATCTAATCGTAGACTGGCCTATCTACGGTGCCTTCTTATTATCCAATCTCGCCCAGCGTCCACCGCTACAAGACGGGTATGAGCCCTAGGGCTATCTCGTTTCGTGGTGTCGCGTCGTCGGTATCGGGCCCTCTAAGCAGCGGTGGTCTTCTCCTTAGGGAGAGGAGTGAAGCGAAGGTAGGGCTTGACAATGCGGATGTCGGGGAACATGGTTTTCGCATCCTCGGTCTTGACGGCTGGGTGAACAATGACGTCGTCACCAGGGATCCAGTTCTGGTACGAAATCAGTATATGTGGCACATGCACTTCGTACAGTCAAAACTTACGATTGGGGTAGTAATCTTGTGCTTGTCGCCAGTCTGCAGGCTGTCGAGAACACGGAGAACCTCAGCTGTGTTGCGACCGGTGCTCGCGGGGTATGAGAGGATGAGGCGGATGGTCTTCTTGGGGTCGATGATGAAGACGGAGCGGATGGTGAAGGCAATGCCCTTGCTGTCGACGTTGGTCGCATCTTGGTGGTCGATCCTGTTCATGTCGTTAGCCATGTCGCGAGTCGTAGGTCGCAACGAATCTCTACCTACATGTCGTATGCCAACGCGATCTGGCGGTCCTTGTCGCCAATGATGGGGAACTTGAGCTTGCTGCCGGAGATCTCGTCAATGTCCTTGATCCAGCCATCGTGCGAGTCGACGGTGTTGGCAGAGAGACCGATGAGCTTAGCACCGCGACGGCTGAACTCAGGCTCGAGCTTTGCGAAAGCGCCGAGCTCAGTTGTGCATACTGGGGTGTAGTCCTCGGGATGCGAGAACAGGATAACCCAGTTGTCGCCGATGAACTCGTGGAAGTCGATGGGGCCCTGGGTGGTCTCGGCCTTGAAGTTGGGGGCCTTGCTGCCGAGGCGGAGAGGCTCTGGTCGGTCGCTCATCGTGTCTTCTGCGCCCATGTTAGCTCAGGTCCCAGCGATTTGCGCAAACATGCGGGGTGGCGGGGTAGGTCGCAAGCAGCCAACATACCTGGTTGTGTGATTTAGTGCTTGAGTTAAGTTGCGGAAGATACTTGGGTATCTTGTAGGTCCAATTTGGGATGTTGGAGCGGTACTATGAGGGAGAGAAGAAGTTGAGGGGTCGATGATGCCTTTTTGTCCTCTTGTAAGGCCATACACAACATTGAACGACCAACACTTCCAGCTAGCGTATATTGCGCAATCGTCACGTATCTCACGTGAACTCCACCAGAGCTTTTTCTGCCATTGAATTTGCCCACGTCGTTTGGCCACCGGGCGAATCATCGACGCGACATCTCCGGCGGTATCGCATGCCAATTGTTGCCCCTCCTGCCGAGCATTCGTCGCAACTGGAAGCAGGTAGAAGCCAATGATGTTGTTGTTGGTGATTTCTCAGCGATATCCCTACTTGTCAGAATTCGAATAGGCTCCGAACCATGTCAGAGCGTTTGCAGACGTTCCAACGACCGATATGGCGTTTGCTTGATCCAATCTCTCGGTAGCTTTGTGCATCAAATGCGCGCATTGTCGGTTTGCCGTGTGAGATTGGGTGAGCCGTATGCACTTGCGACATTGGGGTACAGTAGCCTCCATCGATATCGAGGCGGGATGTTTGGCTGTGTCGCTCAACCGAACGATTGAGGAAGTCGCACTCTTCCGACAAGTGCGCTTCCACAAACATTAGCAGTAGCTGGCAGTGCGGAGGTTACGCGAAACTCTTCTGAGATGGGCAGCTTCATGGCGGCAAGAATTTCGTGACTGCCCGCCTGAACACACACGCCGTTCCCACGCGTCGCGCGAACTCTAATGTCGCGACGTCACGCTTGTGGCAGACACACCTGGGGAGCGAGTAGCCACCTGACTTAACCTCCATATGTTACACACGCGTCCAACGTCGCTACTCCCTCCTAGTACAGCTTCATATCGGCAACCTCGGCAGGGTCCTCTTTCTTCTCGCCTGGAGCCTCAAAGTGAATTTGGGCCGAACTTCCGAGCTGGCTGCCTTGCGGCGACTCATCAAGGACACGATGCATATCTGTGCTGTTATCGCAGGATCGAGCGACGATGAGGCTGCTTGCTTTTGCCCAGGTGCCGATACTTCCCGCCGATGATGTCGGGGAGCCATTTGCTTGTCCGAGTCGAGATGCCTTTGCTTGAGGCGCGCCAGACTCCTTCCCGCATGACGCACCGGATCTACCCTCTTCTGCACGCGCTCCAGCAGCCAGAGACTTCGAGGCGGCCTTGGCATGTCGGTGTACACGACAAATTCCCAAGTTTACCCCGAAGCGGGACGCCCCCATGCATGTGGGCCTGGAAGATGGAGAAGGAGTCCTATTCCCGACCAATGCAAACGATTTCTACGAATCCCGTCGGGAGAGAACCGGGCGTCCCACACCGTCCAGTTGTTCGTTGGGATGCATATCGGCTACGCCTGTGGGTTAGCGGACCAGACCTAACCGCCGCTTAAGCTATGAAGGTCGCGCTTTTCAGCGTCACCGGGTTCACGCTTGCTTTTAGACTCTGACGCGTTCATTGCGAAATCCTCGGTGTAGCTCTTCGACATCTCAATAGAAGAGAAGGACCTTATGGCAGCATGAGTGCAAATCCGGAGATCAACCTCCCGAGAGACTCTGAGCTTGGAGAGTGCGCAGATTCAAGAAGCCAAGCGGGAATAAGCATATTGCCGGATATGCGCAGGCCTTCCGCAGAGGAACCGAGGGATCGAAATTCCACAGCGGAACCAGATAACGACCCAGAGACAGACTCCCACTATGGAAAACAAAGCACCAGTAGCGAGTTCATACCGCAAGAGAACGTGCAGGACTCAGAAATCGTTTGGCGTTATCTCACATTCGACACCGAACTCCCACACGCGACCACGATATATCCGACTCAAACCGAACAAGAAGCGCCACCCGAACCTCCGAACCTCGTCAAATACACAAATCCTTTCGACTGGTCAGAGACAAGAAAGAGATTCACGATATGTGTCTCATGCATCATCACCGCTCTCACAGCGTTCTCGGCTGGCGCTTACAGCCCCGGTGTTGAGCAGATGACGCAGGAATGGGGTGTCAGCAGTGTTGCAGCGCTGGTCGGCATCACGACCTTCACCACAGGATTCGCTATCGCGCCGATGGTTCTTGCCCCGTTTTCTGAGATCAACGGTCGCCGGCCAGTCTTCCTCGCTTCCGGCATTTTGTTCGTCATCTGCCAGCTCTGTTCTGGCCTCACGCAGTCATATGCTGGAATGCTCGTCGCGCGCTTCTTCTTGGGCGTGGGCGGATCTACATTCTCCACTATGGTTGGTGGCGTGGTCTCAGACATCTACCATGCTGAGGATCGGAACACACCCATGGCTCTCTTTTCGGGTGCTGCTCTGTTTGGTACTTCATGGGGACCTTTAGTATGTGGCTTCATCGCGCAGAACACGACTTGGAGGTGGATCTTCTACGTACAGGCCATCTCATGTGGAGCGGTGGTGGTGCTGATCTGTGTCGTATTCAAGGAGACCCGCGGCTCGGTTCTCCTGTCCAGGAAAGCCAAAGCTTTGAACAAGTGGTATGAGGCGCGCGAGCAGTCCGGATATTACGGCTTTAATGTCAACAATACCGAAAAGCCAGGATCCTTGGAATCGCTGCGTTTGAGGTGGAAGGTGCGATCTGATGAAGAACGAGCATCGCTTGGCAAGATGATAGGCGTTTCTCTCTACCGGCCATTCCATCTGCTCTTTACTGAACCTGTCGTCTTTTGGTTCTCGCTCTGGGTTGCCTTCTCCTGGGCCGTACTCTACCTCACGTTGGCCGCGATTCCGCTGGTATTCCAAAACAACCATGGTTTCTCGCTACAGCAAGCCAACGCAGTCTTCGCATCGATGGGAATAGCCAGCATCCTCTCCACCATCTTATCCATCTACCAAGAGAAAATTGCGAAAAAGAGTGGGAAATTGACAGGCACACCCGAAGGCCGCTTATACTTTGCTTGCATAGAAAGCGCATGCATGCCCATCGGTCTCTTCATGTTTGGATGGACAAGCTTCCCCGAGATACACTGGGTTGTGCCCGCAATCGCGATCGGTATCGCTACCGTTGGCATCTTCAGCATCTACCTGGCGACTTTCAATTATCTCGCGGACACATACCATCGCTATGCGAGTTCAGCACTGGCGGCGCAGTCTTTCTGCCGGAATATGCTTGGTAAGTCATCTCCATTCATCACGACTGGATGCATATTAATATCATCTTAGGTGGCATATTCCCACTCATCACGACCCAAATGTATAATAAGCTTGGGTATGGTCCTGCGAGCAGTCTGCTTGGCGGGATTGGCGCGTTGTTGACCATTGTGCCGTGGATTCTGGTGTTCTACGGACCTAGGATTAGAGCAAGGAGTAAGTTCGCAAGTGAGATTATGGATGTCACCTCTTGAGAGGCAAGATGGTGTTTGATAGATTTATCGCATAGCAATTCATTGTTCAATAAACGGCGAAATTTAGACGTGACTGCTGTCGCCAGATGCAAGTAAGCCTTGGTAGACGAATCGGGCTAGTCAGGCCAGTTGTTGCATCATCGCAGCTGTGATCCGGCAAACTGCAACACTTGCACAGCCTCACCAGTCAGCCCTGCCGGCTGCCAGCATCCACGGAAAGATGCGCACGCACACCTCACCTTCGTCGCAATCCACAGAGATGCATGCGCCTTTCCTTCCGGTCTCCACCACAACCTTAAGTGGCGACTAATGGAACTTGCCATAACAATAAGTGCTCTTTCCACTCGCTCATAACCATGGACGATCTCCTTCCATCTTACGAAAGTGTAATGCGACGCGATCCTTGGGTGCTCATCGCTCCCTATCTGCCCTCTCAAGACCTTTGCTCAGCAGCTTTGGTCAACCGGCAATGGCACCAGACCTTCACACCGAACCTATGGGGCAGCCCGGCTTCACACTTTGGGGTCCAGAATGATACTGTATATGGTGGGTTATCAAGGCGCGGAGACAGTGATACATACTGATATCCAATAGTGGCACTCACACGGTTCAAGCGTACATTACCTTATGCGCGAGCTTCTGTAAGAGAGCTCACACATACTCTCCGATTCCCGCCGGCTCATGCAGAGCTGTATGATGGACCTCACGCAGAATGGCTTCGAGACTGTTTGGAACACCTACCTCGTCTGCAGTGCCTGATTGTGGACGGCCTGCCCTTCTTCGATCACGCATGTCTTCTGAGCCTGCGACACTCAAGCCTACAATGGAGGCTGACTCGCCCCAACGCATATCCGGTGTTCAGCCTACGCCTACTAGATGCTTCCAGCTGTACAAATGCTACATCGATGGGCCTTGCAGAAGCTTTACCGCACTTTCCAGATCTTGTCTCGCTGGATCTATCAAAGACCGCAGCCGCGAGAGATAAGGCGGTTCTTTCGACCTTCAAGTACCTCCGAAATCTGCGCGTGCTGAATCTTCGTGGAATTGGCATCAGGGATGAGGAGTTCTCAGTAGTTGCGCATGCAATCAGCAGCCGCGTCAGAAGCCTTGATATCAGCAACAACCTTTTGACGGACACTAGCGTGCGCCTCCTTCTTGAACTGTGCTTGAAAGAGAGGGTTGTTGTGACGCATTCTTCTCGTGGACCACTGGCGCCTGTCGAGAACGCGAACCCAACCGATGGACCAGAGACCTTTGAGTCTGAAAACCTCGTGGGCCATCTTCGCAAGAAGCTTACAGGCGGCTTCATTGGCAGCCTAAGCATTGAGGAGTCGAGCGATGTCGGAGTCTCGCACTTGTATCTCTCCAGTAACGCAATAACTGTTGAAGGCATATCGGCTTTGCTGCGATCAAGACGCCTGCAAGTCCTAGATGTGGGTATACTACCCGCTGTAGTGACGCATCCTTCTAACCTCACGCTCGAAACACCGAATGATGACTTGGGACTACCTAGCGTATCAAAGCTTACTCCAGTACTTGCAGATTATGCTTCACCTAGACTGCGCTACTTGCGGATCAACTATGAGTTGGTGACAGAAGACGCCCCTTTTGAAACGCCCAATTCGCCGCGCGCGGAACTCACTGGGGACCTTGCCATCTACAAACCTTCAAATGCGCATGAGCTCGAGGCTGTAGGGCCACCGACACCCGAACTCGACTCCATCCCGATAGCTGTACACGAGGTTCCAGGGGACTCATCATATCCGGTTGAGCTTCCCGGCTCACCTGTAACACCTCAACTCGCTGAAAACGATAGGCCAGAATCAGAGTCTGCCGATGGTGAAAGGCGAGACGCAAAAAGCGTTCCTAAGATATGCGTTACTCCACAATCACTGCAGATTAACCGAGATCCTGCCTGCGCTCCGGAAGTCATACCTGTAGACTCGCCATTGAGCCCTCTTAGCCCACTGGGAAACGGGATCTACCAACCTCACGCAGCTGCAAACAGACATGATCCTGGAGAACGCCTTTCATCATCTACGCCGGCCCACGGCAACAGTACACTGGATCAATTGACCACCAAGACTACGCCAAGGTCACGAGGCAATTCGTTCTACTACATCGAGGACAGAAAAGTCCGACTGGACTTTCGCCAAGCAAGTGAACCTCGACTACATCCTGGGATGCTTCCGAAGCTTCACACTCTCGTTCTGACGGATGTGCCGACCATGACCAGCGATAGGAAAATTGTTCATCGGATTATACAGTTTATCAAGGATGCAGCCGAGGAGGCTTCAATCGCCAAGCAACGGGCCAGGCACACTTATGTTCTACCGCCAGGACGTAGGCGTGCCATAGCAGAAGAAGAATACGCACGAAACCAGTTTGCCCTTCGGAGAGTAGTACTTGAAATGGCGGCGCCTCAGTCAGCGCCTAAGAAGATCTCCAGTAGCTGGCGGGCTTATCCAACAAAGTCGACTACTGAAGATGCGGACTCTGAAGCATTTTGGGAGGCAGCAACGCATGACTTCTCCTTCTTCGACGATGAAGAGTGCGGACAGCCTGGTCGTGAGCCAGGCCGTACTCTGCCCTTGGCAGCTATGAGCGGATTGGAGCTTGCACCTAGCAATCCCATCTTACCAGTGGACACAAGTAAGAATGTTCATGATACAATTCCGCTCATCGATGTAGTGGGTGAGATTGGCAAGTTTCGGCGAGAAAGGAAGGCCGCATACAATAATTTAGTGGAGATGGGCGAGGCTGAATCTGATGTAGAAGGGTACTGGTCTGGGGATATCACGGTTCTGAGGAAGCCGGTGAATTCAGAAGCTGGGGAACTCGACTGTTACGGTAACCGGTATGAATTGGGTTGGTTCTACCGTTGAACGCGATAGCGTGGCGCAGCACTAGCACATGATAACGCTTTTACATTCCGAAGTCACTTGGTAGGCTGATCGACTATTATGGCACATGTCTGAGTGTATTAGAGACTGTTATCCAGCCTTCTTGGAAGTATCCAGTCCTTCAGGGTGGATAACCAATTACCGACAAGCTTACTCACCGGTATGGTGACCGGTTCCAAGGGTTGCAGTGGGCTGACCCCGCGCACAATGACACCCACATCGACACGCATCTGCCCACTTGTGCAACTGTTCTCGACTTCTTATTCATTTATGCACTTCATGGGTGCCAGAGCACCGCCCGCCACGACGTGACCGCAGACTTTACCCCGGTCTGGATGCACCGCCACGCAAAGGCTTCCTAGGCTCATCCCAAGCACTCTGTTCCACCGATACTGGCTATCGAGTAGCATCGAATTACTTGCAAAAACGATCAACATCCTTATCCAGTCTCTTACGGCTTCTTCGTACATCAGACGTAACCATGGGCCAGTCGTGGAGCGGCCAGCGAACGATCCAAGCAGCTTATGAGCGACGTGGAAAGGTAGTCGCCTTGAAGTCGAGACAGTCAAAATCTAATAGAAGTTACGACAGAGGCCGTAGTTCCTCTTCTGACGCAGACTCGACTGGAGGACATTGGTATAGCCAGGCAGCTTCCAACGGCGCGACAGCCAGACCTGGACGCGGAGACCGCAGGTCGGCCTCTTCACATGTATCCCATCCTACCCGTGTAATACCCATAGGCAAAGCCAAGAAAGAGCGTACATCAACATTCGACAAGCATCGAACCAAGAAAGAAGCTCCACACAAGCCAAAATCCAGCAACACCCACAGCAAAAGAGCCGACAGCGGCAGTACAAGGCACAAGTCGCTCAACCGAGTAGACAGTCATCACCACCAAGGTGATGAGCATAAACCCAAGAAAGAAAAGAAAGACTGTACAGTATGCACAGATACGCTCTCACTGCACCACTTCCCCGACCGGCCGCCCACCAAGAACTGCAAGCACGAAGTCGACGTATGCCGCAAATGCCTCCGCACATGGATCGCATCTGAGTCCAGCGCAAAACTGTGGAACGACATTACATGCCCTATATGTAAAACGCAACTGCGTACAGCAGACATGAGAGAGTTTGCGCCGAAAGATGTGTTCAAACGGTACATTACCCCTCTCACCTTTTCCCAGATCGCCATCTTCATCCCCGCCTACTCCACGACCCTACTAACACAACCCCTAGCTACTGCACCCTCTCCTCCCGCGCCAAGCAAGAAGCCCGGCTGGGCTTCCACTGGTGCCCCCTCAAAGGCTGCAAAGCAGGCCAAGTCCACTTACCCAACACCCCCAAATTCCGGTGCAACACCTGCGAAAAGACGTCTTGTGTCGTTCACAACGTAGCCTGGCATAAAGGCGAGACATGCACAGAGTACGACTACAGAACAAACGGGAAACTGAAGAAGGCAGAGGAGGAAGCGAGTAGGAAGGTGGTGGAGAAAACAACAAAGGCATGTCCGGGGTGTAAGAGGCCGATTGAGAAGAATAAGGGGTGTGATCACATGGAATGTACGTATATATTTCCTGTGCTAGGAGAAGAGGGAGGGTTGTCGTTAAATGTGACGGTAAAGCTGATCAATGTGATAGGTGCGAAATGCCATGTTCACTTTTGCTGGAAGTGTTTGAAGCCGTATTATGCATCCAGCACACTTGCGCGGAACACAGGAAGCCACTGTGTTTGTCATGGAGGACTTAATGAGGGCTAATTTGCTATACGCGGCGGAAGCTGGAAAGACAGTATGTGCGAAGCCGATAACAGGGGAAAGAAAACTATTACAACTCAATTCGCAACATTTTACATAGTCAACTTCATCAGCAGCGCTGGTACCCCCGCACGCGCCATATACGCAGCAGTCACCCCCACGACCGATGTCCAGACCATGTACTTGAACCAACCACCCTTCTTTCCTTTCTCCCTCTCTTGCTTCTCCATCCAGTGCCACCCCTCAGCACTCTCGTCAATCGTCCTCGTCGGCGCGTAATCCAGTTTGGGCGCCACACTCAGCGATTCGATGAGCCCCGCTTTCTGAGATGGCACAATGTACTTGTGTAGATACCCAGCAAAGAAGTAATTAAAGCGTGACTGGTAGCTGTTCATGCGCGTGAGCTTGCCGCTGGTTTCGACGTATTCCTTTGCTCGTGCGTGGCGACCGGCTTGGTATTCGGCGAACAAGGCGGCGAGATCGGGGGTGGAGATACGACGAGTGGGGTTGGAGGCGAATTCGCGGTGCAGGATGTTGCAGAGGTGGACGGCGGACTCGACGGCTATGTTGGCGCCCATGCCGAGGTCGGCTGTCATCTGGTTCTGCGTTAGTGATACGTTTTGCTGGTGATGAGTCCGGGAGGGTGTACTTTGTGTGCTGAATCTCCTACGAGAACTATGCGTCCCGCATGCCATTTACTCAGGACGCCTTCTTCGACATAGAGAAGACCGTGCCGTTCGTTTGTTTTCCATACATCGCCCAGTGTGATGTTTTTTGTCATAGGAAGATCGGCGAATCTCTCCGCCACCGCCTCAATCTCTGCTTCAGTAGCTTTACCTTTCTGCTCTGCCTTTTGAAATTCGTCTTTGAAAGTGATACCCCACATAGCCCTTCCCATCTGCGAAAAAAGAAGCATGGTAACGTCCTGACCGAGAATCATGTTCGTATTGGAGGTGCCGAGCTGAGCGTTGTCCGGTAGCGTACTGACGCCAAACAAACCTCTGTATTCTCCGAATGACATGACGTCTTTGTCGATTTGGGGTATGCTGCCTGGTTCGAACTTGTCGGCGTAGTCCCACATGAGCTTCCGGACGTGACTGTGCACACCGTCTGCGCCGATGACCATGTCTCCTTCTTCGATAGAGCCATCGGCTAGGTGGACACGAACACCCGTACCGGTTTGCTCGATACGTTCAAGGCGCCTACTGGTGTGGATTTTGGACTTGTCCGGTAGTCCTTCGTATAGGTGCGACACGCAAGTTTGGCGATCGAATAGGATACTCGGTATTTTGAAGCTTTCGTGAAGTCAGCGCGTGATGCATCCACTTCACACATATCTCGAGAATATGGAAACATACAGTTTGCTCACAGCCTGCATAGTATCATCGCGACAGATCAAACTCCCGTCTGGCCATCTTTTGTAAGAGGCATCGACGGGCGACGTCGTTTTGGTGATCCTGTCGAGAATACCAAATTGGTCGAAGATGCGTGCGACGGCCGGCCAGATAATCAGCGCTGCACCTTTTAGTGAAACAATCTTGTCGTGCTTTTCGAGGACGACATGTTCGATATTGGCTAGTTGTAGAGCGTGTGAGAGCGACAAGCCGACAATACCGGCGCCAATAACAATGACCCGAAATGGCTTTGGGGATGTGGAATCTTCGTCTGCCATAATGAATTCTCCGATGCTGATGCAAGGGTTGCGTTGGGGAACACTGCGTCTTAGGTTCGAGGCCTAGAGCAAGGGATGGCCGTGACTCGAATCACTGCTGGCTTTACTATTGTTCTTGAATGACGCCTGTTGGGCGATATAATTTAGCCTGCTACTTTATGAGCCGTGTTGTATCGATCTAAATGGTTATGATTTGCAAGTATCGGGTGGTGCCACAAGGGAGGCTTCCAATGTTGGTGCCTTATCTCAGTTTCGATGATGCTGACACGAGCGCCTCGGGCGTCTTCTTACTTTGTAGGCAAGTCATATCGTAGGGCTTGCGCAATGTACTCCATGTCTTGAACGCAGTACAGTCAGATCAGTCGGAGTTGATCCAGGCGCTGTCTATCTGGTGGTGTGGAAGTGAGGACACTGTTTGTACATCGTCGCGCCCACATAGTCAATACGGAAGCAGCCTTAGGCGAGAGATGCGCGATGAGCATCGAGCTTGCTGCAGTCGAAGAAAACCATATACCCCGTCCAAACGACTATTGCACAAGACTTGTACTCCTTTCCGATAATGGTACGATGCGCATTGTGAGTTGACGTGGAAAGATCGGCAAATGAAAACTTCGGAACTTGTTGTTAATATCGTAGCCAGGGTGGATTGGTGGATTGGTAGCACTGCTGACACCTATAGCTAATGAAGTTGCCGAACAAGGCCGCAATGACTGTGTCCATGCAGGAACCAGCTCGCTTGTGACGTCGAAAACCTGGGGTAGTGGGATCTGCAGCCCTGGCCCGACACAAGATGTCGTGTGGAACTCAGATGTTCCCGGCTGCGCGACTCATGAAATGAAATTGAATGCGATCCTGAACTAGTGATGTTTGTTAATCGGTTTACATTCCCTTGTGCGGAAAGCGACTCAGTAAACCTTCTAGATGGCTGAGTGAAATGGGAATAACTCCGGTAGCACGTGAGGGATAATCGGACTCGGAAAACACCTGTTGTGATAGTCACTAACGTCGGCAGAGACTACTGGATTGCCGAGCTTGGTAGTGACGGATCGGCCTTAACACGACGCGGTAGGGTGCAGTGAACGGGAGCTGCGACGAACTGCCTAGGTAGCCCACATGTTGCTTGGCACACTAGCCGCATTGGCCGACCCCAGCTCGCACCTCCAAGCAGGCGCATCACGGTATCGCGCCTGTCTCGCAGCCAACGCCCCTCCGCCCATCGCCCACCGCTGGCTCCCGAATCGATGAACACAGTGCACTCGATTTGCCGGGTGAATACGCGCTTGCCGTAGCTTGCACCTGACAGGACCGGCGCCGGCGCGTCATTTCGCGATCGCCCAACCTCACCCTTGCGGGTCTCTGGACACATCCGCACTTTCTACATGGCGCCTGTTCCTGACACACCACTACCACGCGTGAGAAGCACACGACCGCCCCGGCGACACATATCTGACTCAGCGCCAGCCAGCAAGCGGCGCAAGTACGTTCCAGGCGGACCAGGAGGCGGGGGACGATACGTGGATGACGAGGGGCTGGAGACGCCCGTAGGAGGAACTGGACCTGGAGGATACGCGTATACTGGTCCCCGTGGCCGTGTAGGACGCATCAACGCCGAGCGGCAGGGCCTGCCCATATCAGCGCCGTCGCCCTCATACACCAGACCCCGACGCGAAAGGCCGCCAGCTGGACCGCGTTCCAGTTCGGCCGCCGCAGTCGCCGCCGCCGTGGCTCAAAACGATGGATACAAGCCGCGCGAGGAGCGGAGCTGGGATGAATTTCATCCGGAACTGGACATCGACGCCGAGTTCCCCGTCTTCAGCGCAGACCAGATAGATGGCATCAGCCCTGCAGACAGCGCCCCGGGGACTCCGCTCAATGGCTCATCGACGGGCCAGTACGCCGTCGACAGCGGTCTCTCCGCGGTTCTTGACGGCCTACGGACGCAACAAGCAGAGGATGTCGCGCAAGAGCAGGAGGACGCAAGCTTAGCCGTCAACGGCTCAGGCGCCTTCGTCACACCAAAGCGACGCCCAGGTCGACCGCCTCGCAACCGGGACTCTATGCTAGCTGGGCTCGGATCGCCGCCTCGGCCACGAGTCAACCCCCTTCCGACTATGAATCCAAGGGAAAAGCTGAATCTGCCCAAGCCATCAGTGCGTCAAGTCGACCCGTTCAAAGAACACGAAGAAAGCGAGGGCGTCAAGGTCAACTACGTCGACAAGACCATGGCGAACATCGGATACCAAGAGAGCGAGATCTTCACAAGGCCATCGGAAAACAGCCTCATTAGGCTACCAGAAGGCTCTATCGAAGAAGATCTGGATCTTACTCTGCAGACAGAGGCCGAAGGTACTGCAGGCGCAGTTGCTGTAGGTCGTGTCGAGTACGACATGGATGAGCAAGACGACCGGTGGCTAGAAGCACTCAATGTGCAGCGAAAAGAAGAGGGTGTCGAAGGTATCAAGCCTGCGATATTCGAAGTAACCATCACCCAGATCGAGAAGGAGTGGCACGCGCTGGAAAAGCGTAAGTTTTGTGGTGCTAAAACGAAGCGAACGTAACGGCTGACATGTGAAAGGCATACCCAAACCCAACCCGAAGCCACCTCAGACACATCGCCCACGCTCGAGCAGTGCAGCTGCTGTCAACGGAGAGCCTGCTGGCCAAGGCGAAGAGCAAGATACGAAGTGCGCCATCTGCGACGACGGCGACTGCGAGAACACAAATGCAATAGTATTCTGCGATGGTTGCGACTTAGCCGTCCACCAGGAGTGTTACGGCGTGCCTTTCATCCCAGAGGGACAATGGCTGTGCAGACGGTGTCAACTGGTCGGGCGCGGCACCCCTGTTAGCGAGCTTCCGGTATGACCTGTTCCTTGCTGCTTTACCAAATGCATGCTGACACTCGTAGGGTTGCATATTCTGTCCGAATATAGACGGTGCATTCAAACAGACAACCACAATGAAGTGGGCACATCTGCTGTGCGCCATGTGGATACCAGAGGTATCACTGGGCAATGCGACATTTCAAGAGCCAGTGCAAGACGTTGAGAAAGTACCCAAGACTAGGTGGAAACTTGTAAGTGATCGGGATTCCTCATTGTTCGAGTAGCGCACTAATTGCTTTGTAGTCTTGCTATATCTGCAAACAGAAGATGGGCGCCTGTATACAATGCGGCCACAAGTCTTGTTTCGAAGCTTTCCACGTCACATGTGCACGGAGGGCTAGACTATGTCTGCGCATGAAGTCTTCGCAATCGTCGAACCCGCAGGATACGACTGTGCTCAAGGCCTATTGCGATCGACACACTCCGTCCGACTGGAAGCGTGAGTTTGATGTGGAGAGTGCAATCGCAGATGCGAAGGCCTTCTACCGCCACACCATGCGTCACATTCGCTGGCCGGACAGTCAAGCCTATGCGCTTTCTATTGGATCTTCTCACGCGATGCCTTCCATCGAAGGACCGGATGACGACACCCCTGGATCCAACAAGCGAAAACGTGGGCAATCTACCAAGTCTTGGAGACTGCCATCTGGAGCTCCGGTTGTGCCCCAGGCTGTCTACCACAACGTTGAAAATACGCTGATCAAGTTTAATGTACGTAAGCGTAAGGAATTCGTGCAAGAAGCCTGCAAGTACTGGACGCTCAAGCGCGAGGCACGACGAGGTGCGGCGCTCCTCAAGCGTCTTCAGCTCCAAATGGAGGCCTTCTCTTCTATGGAGATCACTCGCCGCAACTTTGCAGGCATGGGAGCAGCTGGCAGACCCCGACTCCAACGACGTATTGAGTTTGCAGAACGTCTTGAAGATGACATGGAGCAGATCCGTGTCCTCTGCGAGATGGTCAAACAGCGAGAAGCTGAGAAGCTCAAGGACGTCTTGATACTGCAGCAGATCGTCGATTGCATCTACTTCCCAATACCTCAGCTACTGCAGCCTATCCTGGTTCGAGCACAAACGTAAGCAATTCACCTCTAGCTCTTGAATCCCTACTAACATCGCATTAGACTTGATAGCAGAGGCTACTTCAGCGACGGATTCAACAAGCTTCAGACCAAGCTCGATGAGAAATACTATACTTCGGTGCAGACATTCAACGACGATGTGGCCGCGGTCTTGAGTGCTGAGCTTGGATCTGCCGCTGTCCCCAACGTTGGCGATGCTGAAGATCAGCTGAACAGGAGTGCGCACAGCAGTCTGAGCTCTGAGCAGAAGGAATTGAAGAAGGTCGTTAAGCGAATCACCAAAAGCCTACAACCTTACTTTGAGGACGCGATCCGCAAGGAGTCTGAGCTGGCTGGTCGGCCTTACGAAAAACTACCGGACCTGGAGACACTCCTCAACCAGAAGCTGCAACGCAGGCCGAGCGTCCTGTCTCACGACGAGACTGTGCGACAGACGACGGAATCCGATCCGACAACTGTTGAGGAAGCCCAGGAAATTGCAGTTGATGGTGAAGAAGCTGCTGTGCTCACTCAGAAACCAGAGGAGATGCAGCTTGCGCCCACACCGGACGAGAACGCCGCAGACGCACATCACGCACACCATGCACATGACGAGGCGGCAGACGAAGCGGCCATCGCCATTCAACTAGGCCAAGATGCTCTTCGCGTGTCCAGCAATCAGCCAGAGAACGCAGTGGTGGAAGCCCGAGTGGAGACCAATGGCCGACCCGAGCCTCTTACGCCTCCAAGATCCGAGAAGAACTTACTCAACCCTCTGGGTAATGGCGGTGTTCCCTGGTACTTTGAGCACTTCGATGTACATGGCACAACCGTGTACGAGGAACGGTACACCGGTCGTGAGGTACTCCGAGACATGAGCGAGGAGCTTAGCGAGCTAGACGACGACGAACTCGACGGCCTGGCCGACTCTGATCCAGTTCGGCCCACAGACACACCCGAGTCCAATGTCGCCGCAATCAAGAAAGCGGTGGCACGCAAGAGGCAGAAGAGATCGAGGGGATGGTAGATGATTGGGTTCACGTTTCTTTTATCCTTTTCTTTGGCATGTGCTCCCTGAGCCATGTCTTGTATTATCATTGGCATTTGCAGCATACCTACCTTGATGGGTAGATGAGGTGCTACTGGCGCAAGGCGTTCACATTCGGAGTTGGAACATGATACCGCACTTCGATGGATTGTTTCGGCAGAGCATTCTGGCAGGAGTAATTGGAGGAAGGCTGGTCGACTCTGCATGGCGTCTAGCGGGGTTCGGTCAACGAAGCGCCCATTGCGATTGGCTTGATTATGAATATACTTGGTGGTAATGCGCATCATCGATTCTCACTTGACCGAATGTTTCACTCTGTTCGTGAAGGTCCTCTGCGGGAGAGCAGAGCCTCACTCGTAAAGAAACGGCGGTGCACTAGTAATATTGACGCACGTTGACGTTGACGGCTTAGACAGGGCGACCAGGGCGCCGCTCCTGCCCCTAGCAGTTGCCTCACTCGAGCCTGCGCAGCTGCCGTCAGGACAGTCAGGACAGTCCTTTGACAGAACGAACATCGCATTTAGCTACAAATAGCATCTGGCCTCCGCTCTCTCATCACCTTTTCCACTTTTTTACTCCACTCACTTGCAGCACAGCTGTCGGTAGCGCGACGCTTACTAAGTAGGGACGCGGCTACCGTCGATCAGCCCTGCCAAAAAACTGCCCAAACTCGCAGCTTCAGCAAACACCTCTCCTCAACCAACCAACTACCAACTCCCCCGACCCACCACAACATCATCACCATGGAGTACGAAAACGAACAGCGCGGCTACGATGGTTTGTCTCCCGCCCTGTGTGATGCCAGCGCCCTTACTGACTGGTTTGCAGACGAGCCTCGCGGCTATGAACGCGACCGCAGCAGGTCTCCGCGTGGTGACCGTCGCGACGATGGCGCGCGCGCCCGCAGCGCCTCACCGGGCGGCCGCGACAGCCGGTATGTATCTCCTTGCTTGCTCATTTAGATGGAACTGTTGCTAACGAATGCCCAGTGGCCCGCCGCCAGAGCGCAGGGACGATGACGACGAGAGCCGCAACTCAGGCTCCAACCTCTTCGTCACCGGCATCCATCCTACTCTCAGCGAAGAGGAGGTCACCCGTCTCTTCGAGAAGTATGGCGAGGTAGAGCAGTGTAACATCATGCGCGATCCTCACACTAAGGAGTCTCGCGGCTTTGGCTTCGTCAAGATGGTCACCTCCGAGCAGGCTGACGCAGCAAAGGAGGGTCTACAAGGAGAGGTTCACCAGGGCCGGACGCTCAGCATTGAGAAGGCTCGCCGTGCGCGTCCTCGTACTCCCACCCCGGGCAAGTACTACGGACCGCCCAAGCGTGGTAAGTCTGCTCGCTGTCTGCAGCGTACATGCCGTGCTAATTACATTGCAGAGTTCGGTGGACGTGGCGGCCGGGGCGGCGGCCCTCGCTACAACGATCGCTACACTGATGACCGCCGCGGCGGTTACGGCCGACGCGACGACTACGGTTCCCGCAGCTCAAGATACGACGATCGCGGCTACGGTGGCGGCCGTCGCGACGACTACGGTCCTCGTGGCGTCGACCGTTATGCTTCTGACCGCAGCTACGGTGGCAGGGATGGCGGCCGCGATGGAGGACGCGATGGCGGACGCGATGACCGCCGGGGTGGTGGAGGTGGCTACTACGACAGGCCCCCGCCCCCAGCTGCTGGCGCCTACGACGCCCCTCCTCCGCGCGAGGCGTACGGCGGTGGAGGACGCTCGTACGAGGGTGATTACGATCGCTCATACCGCTAGCTCTCAGCTGACACAGGCAGAACCCAAGCGGTACTAAGTTAGGGTTCGTATGGCTTCCTCGGTTTGTCGCCTCTCTCAGCACTTCATTCCTGTAATCCCATGGCTACTTCACTGGGTTCAGTTTAATACGGCTTTCACACGCACACAAAGGAAATGTGGTCGACAAAAGTTCTTCGAATGGTTCGCAGCAAGGTGAGATCACACCATGATCTGGCGTCTTGCAGCTCGACATCGTCTTAGCCCTTCGTCGGCTCGGTATTTCCTTGGAGAAACGGTTCAGCACTTCGGTAAATGCTTTCGGGGCAACGTCTATAGCCCTTGGGAGCACCAGTCATCTTGATCGACACCAAATTGTACTTCTATCTACTGCCTCACGATGCAACCTGGACATCCAGTAACCCGTCCACACCACCTTCCGCATGACCAGCACTGTCTAAATACTCTTCCTATCATCCACCATGACCGCATCCATGTCAACGCAGCCCCGACTCAGTAACATTAATGGGCTTGCCCGGCTCGACCCCCGACCATCACAGCATCTCGCAATGTAAACTCGCTCCGATACGTAACGGATGCTTGAGATGTATCCACACAGCATTCCAGTTGCGTGTCGGTGTCGCGCAACTCGAACAGCATAGTTGGGCACCTTGCCTAAGGTCCAAAGTCGACGCCAGAGCCCGTGATGATAGCTTGCAGACGCGTCGTGATTGCTCCATGCAAACGAGGCGGTGTGTGCAAGTCTATGCTCCGGGGTCAAGGTACATTCGAAGGTGCGTGCCCTCCAATCTCGTTTGTGTTACTTCCTTTTTCGTCACTCGTGCTTTCCTCACCATGCCACTCACAAGCTGAGTCGGAGTCATGCAAACGTCGACTGCAGAACAAGGTAAACTCGTGAACGCGACACTTGATCCTGGCGACAGTAGAGCGGAATGTTGGCATCGTCACCAACTTGTAGATATATGTGCTGCAATGAGCACACGGTGTAAGGCGTTGCGCAACGACTACGCTGCAACATCACACTTCATGCTCCCGCGACCAAAGAGATTCAGTCATCTCTGTCGCACACATGTTATCACCATTATAGGACTCTGAGGCGTCCACAGTCGCTTGATGAATCAAATAGCCAACGTCAAACCTAATGCGCGGCTGATTCTCCTCAGCCCCTGCAATATTTGCAGTTTTCGTAGAGCTATGTAGAATGCCAATCATGCCAAGTCCATCTTTGATCATGCAGAATGCGAAAGTGAGATACACTTCGACGCTTGTGCCTGGCTAAAGAATTAAGCTGTTCTTGGAGATCCACGGCAGGCGTGGAGCCGCGGGGTGCCCCGACTGAAAGGCCGATGCAGGGTTGGATGCAGCCTGCAGCAGGTAGCGGGCCGTCTCTGGCTTCTAGCACGACCGAACCTCAGCCCAAAGTCATCCGTCGCCATCGCTGCGGCGTCCGTCGCGGGCCACAGGTGCAACGCCTGTGTCTTGTGCGTTGTGACCTGGGTGTAGCGTCAAAGGCCATGGTCTTGTATATCTGGTCTTTTCGCGATGCCTCGCCTCTTTACTCATACGCGCTCCGGTGGCCTATGTCATCCATTCGTCGTTCCACGTTCGTCACTGCGGAGCTTTCCTTCGACCAACCCCAGCTGCCGCGCGGCGACTCCACCAGCACCGTGAGCTTGACAAGTCCGATCCCAAATATGCCCGGCTAACAATGCGACAGTATAAGACCATCCGGACCTCACGCTGACCTTGGCGGTCTACGCCTTTCGCCCCCTGCCAGTCGTTCGCTTTCAACTCACGCAGGATGACCCGACGAAACGTCATTCCAGTCCTTGCGCTAACCCTCACACTATTCGTAGTCGCATTCTTCTATGCTGGCATAGACTCCAGCCAGGCATGGCGGGGTCTACCACAACATGTCGGTCTAGGAGACCACATCGGCAGTGACGAGCGGCCACCTCTGAGTACCGGCACCGTCGAGCCCTCGAAAGATGCGACCAAAGACCCAGATTATGCGAACTGGAACCCGACCCCCATATTCAAGCCAGGCTCGCCAATGCCTGCGCAACACAACTATACCTCCACACTGGTGATTGCCAAGACGAAGCATGAGAGTGTTGACTGGATCCTAGACAAGATGCCGGAGCAGCAGACAGCCGTCTACGTAGCCGACGACCCCTCCGCACCGCTACATCCACCCAAGAACAAAGGCCACGAGGTCATGATATATCTCTCATGGATCATTGACAACTATGACAACCTCCCCGACGTCGCTATCTTCATGCACGCGCACCAGTTGTCCTGGCACAACGACGAGATCCTCGGCAACAACGCGCATCTGCTTATAAGCCGACTCAACCGAGCCCGCGTTTGGAGAGAAGGCTTCGTGAACATGAGGTGCAGCTGGCATCCCGGCTGTCCCGATTGGATGCACCCGGCAGCAACCGAGCTGGACCCCCAGAAGCAGGAAGAGGTCCTCCTAGCCAAGTCGTGGAGCGAGCTCTTCCCCCTCGACGAAGTACCCACCGTTCTCGCACAACCTTGCTGCGCACAATTCGCCCTCTCACGAGAACGCATACAAGCAAAGCCCTACGCGCAATACGTCTGGTACAGAGACTGGCTATTTAATACACGTCTGGAAGACCGTCTCAGCGGACGCATCTGGGAGTACGTATGGCAATTCGTCTTTACGGGCCAGAACGTCTTGTGCCCCAAGGAACACATCTGTTTCTGCGACCAATTCGGCTCTTGTTTCGGCGGCGAAGAGCAATACGCGAATTTCATTGCCCTCAAGAACGAACTCGGAGACCGGGAAAGGGATCTTAGGGAGTGGGAGGACAAGCGAAAGGCGATAGAAGAAGCAACGCGAGACAACGATCAAACAAAGCTGCAAGATCTGGAAATGCCAGAGGTAGGGAAGGACGCTGATTATAGGCGGGAGATCGATCGGCTGAGACCCATTGTCGACGGCCTAAAACATGATGCTGAGGTGAGGGGGCAGGATCCGAGGATGAGGGCTGAGGAGTTGGGACGAGAGTGGCATGAGGGGGATGGTTTTTAGATATTCTTCTTGATACCCTGGGTTTTTGGCCGGCGTATCATGTCGTGCTGTATGGCGTTGATTTTCTATGGTCTTAGAAGGGCGTTTTAGCATGCTACTCAGGGAGGGATACTATGTTGTAAGAAGGTGAATCATACACCACACACCACGTACACAGCGCACTTGAGTTCCTCAATGTTACCATTCCATCATGCGAAGAGTTAAGGTCGCCCTCTTTCGTCAATGTTCAGATGGGCGCGTTGGGAAGGCGGCTTATCTAATCGTCCGAGCTCAGTCACATGCGCGCGCGTCATCGTGCAAACAAAGCAAACTCAACCCCATCCCGAGTTGATTTGGCCCGCTGGCCGGCCCGCTTGTCGTTCTCACACGACAGCAATCAGGTGTGTCTGCTGATCTGATTCCTACCATCTCGCGTCAAACCAAACCACGATCCTAATCTCCGCACCTCGATGCCAGCTTACGTCGCCGAGACGGATCAAACTGCACTCCATCCTTTCCTCTTGTCGGGTCAAACCATGCTTTGCTCTCTCCATCGAATCGCAAATGCTGCCCTCTTGCGCTCAAACCAAAACATGTCGCTGCTTCGGTGTCAAACCAAACCTCGTGGGCGCTTGCATACAAAAGAGATTCGGTGTCGCGCTCGCCCTGTAGACGTATCGAGTCGTTTTCCACTCGCAGTCCAAGTTGCATGAACTCAGTTGCTGTCTCCATCTCAACATTTGACCCCAAGACTTACCATCTGTGCATTGACAGCTCATACGACCGATCCCTCCCCGCCCTGTTTGGCTCCTACCGTCTGGCCCGTCTGATCTCGGGGGATACGAACCACGATGCGGGCAAACGTCGACGCGCCATACTACCAGATGCGCTCCGGCCAGTTCGTCACCACGCCCAACAGTACAAACGGTGCACCGCCCCCATTCGTGTCCGACGACGATGAATATGACTTGTCTGCTCCCGCTCCCCTCGCATCGCCGCCCCAACATCATCTCAACCCACACCTGTTCGCCGAACACACTGCTCGTCAGACGTCAGACGATCACACACTGGAGGAGAACCATAACCTTGTTGAGTTGCTGGAGGCTGCGACAGCTGCAGATCAGGTGGCATATGCGATGGATACTGGAGATACTGGGACGGTGACCATCCCACTACAGGATAGAGGCAAGAGAAGAAGAGATACCAGCTCCCCGGCCGCGGACGCATCGCATCATGCCGATAGGCCCGTCAACTCTAAGCGACGTAAGACTGGTGGATCTACCGATCCTCGGCTTCAGGACCATGGCCATAATATGCATGGGGTCTCTGTCGACGACACTGTACCGCCTTCCAGTGAGTCTCTATTGAACGATGCCCGTGCTGCAGGTGTACACTCAGCCGCCGCTCTCTTCCGCCGCTCCTCCGAAAGAACGTCTCGCAAGTACACACGACCGCCTATGTCGAAGCTGTTCATGTCACTCCAGCTAAGCCCAGAGAACTTCCTTCAACTACAAGCTTTAGCAAAAGGCTACATGCTCGACACATCACATCCTGAGAGGCAGAGCTGCGTTGGAAACCGCGGCAAAGGTGATACCGACATGGTCAAGTTGCGGCTCTTCAACTGCGTCCGGGACTTCCTAAACGAAGGCGTTGGCGAGCAGTTCTTTGGCGAAGATGTGGAGAAGCCGGGCGAGAAGGACGCGATTGAAGCTGCACGCGCACTAGGAGAAGACAAGAGTCCTGATGCTGGAGAAAGACTGACATGGCCAAGGGACGGGAACAAGATTATTAGCCTCGTTACTCCGTTGATGCGACGAATGGTCACGAACGAGCGGCAGCGACAGTATGCGATCGAGACTAGGAAGGGCGGCGCGAAGAAGAAAGACAAAGAAGGTAGTGCCGAAGCTGTGCTCCAGCAAGGCGATGATGATGCAGGACGTGGAGTCGAGCAGCATCTACAGCCGGTCTTCGGTCACAGTTTGGAACAGCATCCGACGCCGTCACAGCAGACAGCTTCATCGACACGACTCACAACCGTGACGCCGCAGGTTTTCTTCCAAGGCAAGGATGAAAAGTCGGATTTCAGAGAAGCGGTAGAGTCCAACGCAACCACACAGCCAAGTTTGAAGGTAGGGTCGATTCCTTCATGCTCCTAGTATGATTGACGCTGCTAACCCATCAAACAGTTACCCACGGCTAGCCCTACCGAACCCAATCTCTCGCACATCAACGTCTTCCTCGTACTTGCCTCATCGAGCGGCAGACCTGGCATCAAGCTCGACGAGAAGCGCATCACAGCCGAACCACAAACACACCTGGCATGGTATGATTACAACGACTTCATGAGAGAGGTCATTCTCCTCCTCAGAGCCGCCAAGGACAGATACCCCGAAATCAGCCCAGGCATCGGATTTCGAGACGTTGAACCCGGAACAGACAATCTTCGTGGGCTCGCTGCTGCCGCAAACGCACTACAGACAGAGCATGCTCTCCACGGAACATCGTCTTCATTCAACGGTCTCCCTCAATCATCCGAAGATGATCACGCTTCTATACTTCCTACACCCACTTCGGCAGTGAGCAATCACCCCGTCTTTCCTGCCGACAGTCATGCGGAAACCAAGTCTCTTCCTCGTTACGCTATCAAGTCTATTGGTCCGCAGGGATGGCGCGATATTCGCAATGCGGATGATTGGTATAGTGTGCTGAGGGAGAAGGCGTTTGCTGTTTGGGCGGATGGCGTGTGTAACGTGCTTGTTGAGCTTGTGGACTTTGCTGGGGTGGTGGGGTAGCTTTGGACGTGGGACTGGGTGTTGTGGAGTATGTATTCTATGGGGATATGTGTTACCTGTTTCTATTGCTATGGAGTATCATGCATGATTGGAAAGCTACCTCTACAAACAGCTTTGTATGTACCATGTCACCCGTCGATCTTACTGTCATGCTCTCCTCACATTCAGTTATGAAGCCTCTTCTTACCCTTCTTCGCCTTCTCAAGCACTTTCTCCGACGAATCCTCGCGAATGATAGGACACTTATGACACCACCTATGCCTACATAATTGATTTGGACACCTACCAGCTCGGTCCGGGTTGTGCGCAGTTCGCTTGATCTTAGTGCCGGTCATCTCGGGGTCATCCTCGTCGGGGTCGTCGGTCTCGTCAGTCTCGTCGCTCTCGCTGGTCTCATCGAACTCCTCGTCCTCGTCCTCGTAGTCCTCCTCGTAGTTTCCAAAATACACCTCGCATAAATCCTGGATAAGGTCCCAAAGATCATCATAGTACAGCACGTAGAGAGGGGCGTAGTATTGGTCGGACTCATCGGAATCATTCTCGCCTGGCTCCTCGTCAGACACATCAGCGTCATCCTCGCATGACTCCTCGTCGGACGTCTCTGACTTAGAGTCGGCCACATCCCCGCCGCTACCACATTGACAGCATCGGTACTTCTTGCTGAAGAAGGGCCTCATACGCATGGGTGGAGTGTTCTTATAGTGGCGCACATAACCTCGTGGAACTGCCGGTCTATCCCTCCGTCGGGCCTCTTGTCGTGGACCTCCAAGACGATAATTTGGGTAGCGTGGCGGTCTACCGCCATGAGTGATGCCGTAGTTTGGTAGGTTGGAGTAGTCGTGGTTGTGGGTAGCATCAGGGTGGGTGGAGAAGGGGTCTTCGATTTTGGCAGGCCGCCTCTGGGTTGGGGTGGGTGGATTGGGTGGAGCCATCACTACCGAAGTGAGTTGATCGCGGTGATGGTATTTGGCGAGCAGGTAGCCGGGGCTTTCTTATAGACGAGGAGTGACGGGAGATGATATGGGCCTGATGATGATAGTCAGAAGAACGAGATATATATGAGCGTGATGAAGATCTTGTGATAAAACATGAAGGCATGACTTTGTTTGCTTGAAGTTATGAGACAGTTCAGGTGGTGTCTAGTGTTTCTGTCGTTATTCTATCATCTTCGCATGTTTGGAGCATTGGTGTTTGGGCTGCAAGGAAGGAAGGAAGTGGTAGCAGCGACAAGGTGAGTACTGTCTTCTGGGAATGAGACATATGAATCATATTCGAGTCTCGTCTGTGTCGAAAAGCGCATTCTCTTGACTGCCAGGTGCTGTGTACATCGCGTCGCGCTGCATCGCTCCACGCTCGCTTTTCAAAAGGTCTGCCGGTGTCTCGCAGCTGCATTAGCATGTGTTCAGGTCGGTCAAAGGGCACCTTTGCCAGTCATCCGTTGTCTGACTACCGGGAGAGACCGTAAGAGTGATGTCAAACCATAATACCTCACTCCCACGCACGTCCCTTCCATCTCATGTCCCCCCGTGCCCAAAACTGCGATAAGGTGTGTATCCCATACCAGGCGCCGTGCGCTGTCCGTGATAGGCAGGCGGGTGCGCCAAGCCATGGATTGTAGCGAACGTCGTTCGCCCAATTTTACCCCTCCTTGTCAGGCACACAATAAGCTTTCGGAACATGGTAGCGCGCGCACCTGCACCCTTTTCAACGTCGCCGGTTACGTCAAGCGTGCCCCGGTGTTCTGGACGGATCGCGCGAGATGTGGGGACATGGCCTGAGGTTTGGTGTTGGGCATGGCGGCGTGGTTCTGGTAATGACTTTGGTCCGAGGGACGCAATCGGGGTTTGGTCTGCGCTACAATCAGATTTCGAGCGCACCGATGCTACCCGCAATCATGGCACACATGACGTCGCCTTATTCCGGTTCGCTCTCTCCCGTCACTCATCTCCTTTGACGGCTTCTTAGAATTGCGGTACTGTACTGCAATCCCGTTCAGATACGTTAGTCCTCGCTACGAATCCGCTGGGTTATCACTATACGCGACACCCGTACCATGGCAACCACTACCAATCAATTCCTTGCATGGATATTCAACAGCCTCCACGGTGTCGCTGTCATGACACCGATCTTGGCAGGGTGCCACGAACCGTAGAAAATGGATGCTCATGATCCCATGGAAGCTCCTACAATCCTCGACTGATCGACGGCAGAAGTCTCTATCTGATGTACCAAGGCTACTGATTCGGGGGTGACATCTGCCGTATAGCACCTCTGCGACTTCAGCTCTTAATGACTTGTCACGCGCGAATCTGCGTAGCAGGAAGCTAGAGTGGCTATTGAAGGCATTCGGAGAGAGCGAGTGTCGGTGGGCGCGGTATTGTTACACATGTCCTCCTCCTCCGTCTATCTAGCCGTACACTCATTGACGACATCGTGCGCGATTCTCACCGCTTTCTACAATGCGAATGGCGACAATCTCCCTGTCCGTTCCAAACGAGAAGTGCCGTGCCTCTCGGAGGTTTATGCAGGAGACAAGTGCCGAAATCTGGAATTGATTGCAATGGTGTAGCACTGTGGTTAGGTCTTGAACATTAACGCGGGGATTCCTCAAAGTCATAGCCGTTATTGGTCACATGCAGAGGTCTTTAATCAATGGATAAAGCATATCCACACCAGACACCATGGATGCCATGGAGCAGAGTTGACAACAAGATACCAAGACTCGAAGCTATTGACAATCCTTCAGCTTAAGATCGTGGGCGGTCCTTCGCGCGTTTTCCAGCAGAAATACATCCACAAGAGCCATACAAAGACACACGACAATGAAGTGGTACCAGATCGCCGCTCTCGCAGTGCCTGCTCAGGCCGCACTGCGCTTCGGATGCTCAACCTTGAGCATCCAACGGCTTGACCCGCTCGTTGAGCCTGGTAAACTTCCTTCAGCCCATGTTCATCAAATTGTTGGTGGCAATGCATTCAATGCGACTATGCAGGAAGACCCATCTACCTTGGCTACCTGCACAACGTGCACGTTCTCAGAGGACTTCAGGTTTGGCAGCCTGTTCATGTCTTCCAACCGAGGCTGATAGATATAGCAATTACTGGACCGCCGCGATGTTCTTCAAACACACCAACGGCTCGTACAAACGAGTGCCTATCATGCAGAACAGCGCCTTGCCGAACGGCATCAACGGTGGCATGAGTGAGTTCTAACTTACTACACGCAGGCGAGACATACACTGACTGGTTGTCTACCTCTTCGCAGCCATCTACTACACACAGCAAGACTTCAACGGGAATGGTAACCAGAAGATTACTGCTTTTCCCAAGGTTAGTCATACTGCGGCACATGTAACACACTACTAACCGACTCAGGGCTTCCGAATGACTGTAGGTTCGCCTACAACCAACACGGTAGAAGACGCGAAGAAACACCCAGGTCTTCGCTTCGTGTGTCTGCAAGACAAGAACACCCGCTTCCCCGAGAGCCCAGACTTCCCACCCAAGGCCTGCAAAGGTGGCATCATGACTGTGCATCACTTCCCGTCGTAAGTGGTTGCCTTGTGGCAGACTCATCTGAGAGGGTACTGACATATGCATCAGTTGCTGGGACGGCAAGAACGTCGACTCGCCCAACCACCAAGATCACATGTACAATACAGCCAAGGAAGCCTTCGCTGTCGCTGGCGCATGTCCGTCTTCGCACCCGGTGCGCATGCCACAAGTTGCCTATGAGACACTCTGGGATACTACTCAGTTCAGCAACATGTGGCCCAAGGATGGCTCCAACCCTTTCTTCCTTTCTTACAACGACAACAAGGGCTATGGTACCCATGCGGACTACCTCTTTGGCTGGAAAGACGACAGTCTACAGAAGGCGATGGACAACAACTGCATGTTCCAAGCTTGCGAGAACGGAAGACCTTTGAAGGTATGTGATGCAGTGTGGGCTCTTGAAGCATGGTGTGGCTGCTAACGAGGAGTTGTAGAGTCAGAATGTCCAGGCTATGAACCAATGCCAAGTCAAGAGTGCTATCAAGGAGAATATCGATGGCTGTAAGTTGTTCTTCCAGTCACACTGTGACGTTTCCATACTGACAACCCTTATCAGGGCTTGACCATATGCCCGGTATGGCGATGTAGGTGAGCGGTAAGGAGAAGCACGAGTCAAGTCTCGTACTTTCGGCGATACCAAATTGTGATCTACTTCATCTGCGGACTTCGTATCTACACAAATTCAGTCGTTTCTGAGTCGCGTTTTTCCGTCACTTTTGCCATATCCTCGGAGATGTTTTGTCTCTAGAGACGGTGTTGATGAAGACTGTCCCGCATCGCAGTCTAGACTCTTCGGCAAGCGAACCCGCAAGCCAGCGTACATGCTTTTTCTCTCATCCAGACCCTCAAACGCCACATTCCAGCCCATCCAGACAGACATACCATGCAGTGCTCGCCTCCTCCATCGTGAGCCTCAGATATAGACACAGCTTACGCACTAGATCATGCGCGCGACACCGTGCAGTGAGATGCATAGCTCAGCGGTTTCACCACCAGGATGGTGCTCCGATGCAGCCCGACCTTTGCGCTGGCTCCACCGCGATGCCATGTGCCAGGAACCCGCAATTGTCAGACAGCGGCGGGCCGTGCGTCCACGGAAACCACGTTGCGACCACGTGGTGAGCATGCATTTCCATGCAGGCGCTCGGACGTTGGATGAAAGGTTCTGTCGTGCTGCCGCTCTGGGGAGCATGTGGGGTTGGGCAGGCGATTGCGCATGTGAGGATGTGGTTGGAAGGCGTACGGGTTGGTGGGCAATGGGGGACGGGGTTGAAGCTTGGGGTTGCTTTGGCTACTGGTGGGTGGGCAAACCTTATCGGCGACGCATCTGCAAGATCATTTTGACGTGCATTTCCTCACATGCGCTCGCCAAATGTCAAATGCGGTGGTCGAGATTAACTGGAATGGAAAGGGGGCGGCACTCTATGCCTTGACGTTTAGCTGCTCATTGCCAGACTGCAGCGTCCTCCGGTGCCCAAACGCCTGGGCGAGCTGATTAACTAGTGCGAGGGATCAGCTGCAGTCACTTCAAAGAAGCCGACGCTGCATTGATTGACCTAGGGACTTCGGGCTGACGGATGGCGGCGCATGCGATACTGTCGATATTCACTGCTCCCGTTTCGCGAGGAATGGATGTCTCATAGATAATGCAAGGAGTTCTTCAGTCAGGGAACAAGTGCATGGCTCATGCCATGACCAAACCAGGAGCGGCAATGCGCGGGCACCGGTGGAGACGAAGCTAAACCTAAGCAACACGGGGCCCTGTAGCGGCCAACGTGGGTTCTGGGTTCCCGCAGAAAAACGTGGCATAGGCGATGCAAGCGTGGGCGGTGGTCAAGGGGATTGGTCGGGTGTCGCGGTCGGCGTGAATGGCTTGAGTGGAGGCTGACTGCATGCAACTCACTCAGCACTTTATCGAAATGCAAGTATCCCTAGATGCAGTATCCTTACGTGCGGCCGTTTCAGAGCCGTCTGGTGGTTGCCATGATGCCGGTGGTGGTAGCGGTAGAGGGGTCGCTCTTTCCTTGCTTACAGCCGCCGCTGCCTACATAACCGCGTCGTGTTCGTCGGCGGCGGGCCTTCTGCTACGCGTCTTGACCACGCACATGCCGCTGCTTGTCTGCAAGGC